AAAAATTTGTTTCCATAAGAGTTTCAGAGGAAAAAGGAAACTGAATTTTCCCTCGAGAATTGCTCTATGCGGTCGCATAGAGTAAATTTTTGGAGCCTTTTTGTTTTCAGTATGCTACTATGCGACCATATAGAGGATAGTACTATGCAGTCGCATAGTACTATCAACTATGACAGATGTGCGTTTTAGTCCTCCCACTTGCATCCTTCACTTCTTGCTTGGCATCTCCTCTTCATTCTTTTCATTTCATCACCCCACGATATCGTCAATTGATAATTGGCTTAATCGATTTCTCGATTTGTTCATCGGATCAAATTTTGGGTATTTATACTTTGGTCCTTGAACTTTTACTTTGCGTCATTTTAGTCTTTTTTCGCGTCTTTTCTCCTGAATTTCACCATGTTCATCGTTGTTCCCTACAATTCATAAATGTACGAGATTAAGTCACAATTCAATCATTTTGCTCGTTATTAAGTCATATTTGTGACCTAAATAAGTGTGCAAAAACACACTTATCAGAGCTACAACAGACATAAATGGAGATGCTGAAGAAATAAGAAACAGAGAGAGAAATTCAATATTGGGAGTTTGAAATTTGTGTTGGACTTGAAAAGGTCAAGATATGGACCAAGGAGAAATTTTCAGCGCTTCTCGGCTTGCTAGCCACTAGCTTATCGCTCGAGTGGCACCAACACTACTAGATTGATGCAGCAACTCAACCGTCCTAGGCCCATTCTTACATTTTGAGCATTTCCTTCCATCTATAACTCTGTTTCTAGGGTTAAGAGTGTCCCATGTATAGAGTTAGCTATTCATTATGTTTTAGACAAGTTAGACAAATATATAAACACAAAAATCTTTGTATTTTTTCTTCATATTTTAGGGAAACCGCCTTTACTCTGCCTATTGTAGGTTTGTAATATTTATTTCATATGGTGCCATATATTTATTCTCATACACAACAAATTGGTATCAAAGCTTAAGGTTTGAATTGTTCTAGGTTTTGTTTTTGAGATGGTAATCATGAAGTATGATGTTTCGCTTTTGGATTGTAACATAAGATTTTCGTTGTGATAGGTAAAGATGTGAGCAGTGCTCGTTTAGATGGACTTGAATGATACGTTGTTGGGAAATGAGAAGATATCTACAACTTGGATATCAAAGGAGAAATAAAGTAAGGATCGATAGGCCCTATCCTAGATTCATCTTCATCTTTCGAATAATATTCTTCAAAATATTTTGAAGAGTATGACTGTCACTGTATTATGATTGAAATTGGAGCAATTATTCATGACAAAGGGTCTTAACTAGCAAATTGCATTTAACGCATTGCCTCAATTCTCATTGTATGACAGAAGGCACATTTGTGAAGATCACATAACTATTTTTTAAGGAAATCATTGTTGATTTGAAAACCTTGGAGATTAATATAATGAAGAAGATTTTAGGTCGACTTCATTCTGTTCATTGCCTATTTATATATGTTTTTTAGAGATACGAGATTATACAGTTGTGATACTCTAATCATTGAAGAAGTCTATAATGCTTTATTTTCAAATAAGTAGATAAATAATCTCATTGGATCTGAGGCACATGGAGATGATCTTGTTGTTGATAGTGGTTATGTGAGGGGCAAATTAAGAGTTAACTTTAGTAATCAAATTTGTAATTATTGTAAGAATAAGGATCACATGATAAAGGATCGCCTATAAGCTACAGAATAAAGAAAAATAAGCTGCAGCTAATCGAAAGGGAAAGAAACCAGATACTTCAGGTGAAGCCTGTATTGCAGAAAATTCTCATAATTATGGAGAACTTTTGATTATTTTTTCAGCCTAAACTTGATGAGGACTAAATCTTGATACAACTCATTCTTTTCATATGTGTCCCAAACAGATGAAGTAGTTTTGGAAAATGGTGTTGTAATGGAAAATAACATACCTTAGGATTTGCTTGATTGTAAAACTGAAATTTGGATGGAAAGAAAATGAATTCAAGGGAATTGAATTGTCTAGAAATTGTTTTACTGAGAATTGTCAATTATTGTGTTTAATTGGAATAATTTTTCACTTGAAAAGTGTTGAAATAAAAGTATTTTTTAGTGTTCATTTGACTTGTTTTACATGAAAATTGTCAATCAAATGAATAGAATTTTTTTCCATTGCCCAAAAAAAAAAAAAAGAACAGAGACCGAAGAAAATTATCTATTTTTTAATGTTCGTTTGACTTTATTTTACATGAAAATTATTAATTAAAGAAAAATACTTTTTTACAATTAGGGATAGAATTTCTTTCCATTACCAAAAAAAAAAAAAAAAAAAAAAAAACAACAAAAAAGTAGCCTAGAAAATCAATTCCCACCAAGAAAATTTTCCCTTTCCAAGAAAACCAAAAAAACGTTATCAAATAGCCAAAAAGTGAAAATTGGAATTTGAGTTCCATTTTTCATGAAAAATAATGGCCAATCAAACAGGCCCTTATAGCATTTCTAGTATGGGAAAGGTCAGGATTAAGATGTTTAATGAAATTGTCTGAACACTTAATTCAGTGAGACATGCTCCAGATTTAAAGAGAAAAATTATCTCCTTGTGCACTCTTGATTAAAAAAAATACATTGATGAATGTTTGAGTCCTGACAATTAGTAAAAGTGCATGTGTTATGATAAATGGACAAAGAAGGACCCAATTATATGCCTTGCAAGGTTCTATAGAATCTTTGAAGATCAATCAGCAAAATTTAAGGACTCGGGTGGTTTTTAAGTTTGATTAAGTACCGTCAGAGTTTAGTTTAGGGTCTACATTGAAGAATACATTTTAGTCAAGTTTAGAAGTTACAGATAATTTCACTTTGCCACTTAGGGTACCATTGTATTCAATTGCTAAAGATAAACTATTATAGATATTATGCCTGGTAAAAGAAATTTGATTTAGTTGACGTCACTTCATTTGTGGTTGAAGGTATTAATTCTATCTAAGAACCTTCTATTTACGCATTTAGTGATGGTGATTCTGTTATAGGGCTTGTTTTTGCCCCAATTTAATGATTATTAATCATTTGTTATTTTGTTGCTTGTGGAAAAATTCAAGCAACTTTGGTGTCCAAGCTAATCCAGTTGAACATTGTTGGAATTCAATTGATACTCGATATAGAGTTTGCCGTATTTGCATTTTGTGATAAGAGTTATAAATTTTTTTTAGTTGGAAATTTTGATGGAGAATTTTGTTTGGTCTATTTTGCTATTTTTTTTTTTTTTTTTTTTTTTTTTTAAGGGTTAATTTTTTTTTTTTTTTTTTTTGTTGAAGAGTTAAGTATTATTTCTCGTAGTGGAAACGTGGAGAATTTTTGGAAGTTTTGTTCATGTAGTGGAATTTGTGTCAAGTTAGAGTTGGTTAGAATTAGGATGTGACTCGAATTCTATTTAAAAGGCTATTTTCTATTCGAAATTTATTTGGCAATTCTAGTTGAAATTTAATATTGGGAGTTTAATTGGAAGATTGGAATTTGTATTGGATTTGATGATGTCAAGATATGGACTACATGAAATTTTCGGCACTTTTCAGCTAGCCTTCAGCTCGATCGACACAGTTAAAATTTTGTGCAGAGAGCTGACGCTTGAGGGCAGCTCATTCAGCTCAAGCCCGTTTTTGATATTTATTTTATATTGTGTCATGTATTAATCCTCATATTAAAAAAGGATTCTTGGTCCAATTTGAGTGGAGTTGCTTTGTGGTTTACTTTATCCACCATTACAACGAATTGATTGGAATCAATATAAACGTATCGTTATTTATATGTACAGAACTTCGATTTAATCATTCAATTGTTTAGAACTAACTTGTTGAGGTTTAATTCAATTGAAGGTGCACAATTCTCTACATTAACATATTTTATACACATGTCAATTACGAGCAAGGTATAAGAAACAATTCGTCATCCATTTCCACCATTCTCATTATATTAGTTGCTCTGCCAGAATGAACTTCTACAAGATGCCCAGCAATTTTGCTGGCTATAAAAATTGCACATTATGTTCTATTTGTGTTGAATATTTTGAGATATTTGAATTAGATAATTTAGAACACTTGTAGAATTCGTTATCTTTTTTTTTTTTTTTTTTTTTTTTTTTTCCTAAACCACATTTTTTATAAAATTTAATTTCAACCACATTCTTTCTCAAAAAATAATTTTAGACATAGACCTAAAACATTTTTTTTAATCACATATTTTCCAAAAAATCATTATTTCAAAATTCAATTTTCCAAGGAAAAAAGGCTCTTACATGGCTTTTACTCATTCCCCAAAGAGGGCTCTCTCCACTGTTTTCCAGCACCTTGCCTTCGAGATAAATCCCCCTTCCAAAATGCTGCCTTCCAGGAATCGAACCCTCCACACTTGATTTGTGAGCCCACCAATGCAATTGTTCCACCAACTCAGATGTGCCCCGGGGGGCATAATTCCAGTTCAAGCAATGGCTAGAAATTTGCATTCCAGCTAGCGTTATAAAACCACCCAGTTGGGCCGAAATGGATTTGACTAGGTTTCAGTAAGTATATTATTTGGAGTTACCTTTATTTGATTTGTATTAAAATAAAGATTTTAGTAGAATTTAATAAAAACTTGATAAAATGTATGGTTGAAAATTTATGGATCCTAAAATACGGTTAGTTAAATTAATTATTGATTTTGATTTAATTTTAATCAAGTTTTTTAGCTTAAACATATAGGGACCTAATCTACTTGGATCGGAAAACCATTTTCTAGTGCTAGCTTCTTTGAGTCAAAGAAGTTCTCGGTCCAGCCGGTCGCACCGGATTTGCCTAGTGGGGTTTATCTAACTGACGTGATTTGTAGGCTATTGTGTCAGCTAGATTGTTTACACAATGCGCACCCGAAGAGTAACGATTGTCAGTTTCCCCGTCATTAAAACAAAAAAAAAAAGGAAAAAAAAATGAAACTTTTATCATTGTGAAAACTTTGAACGCATACAGAAGTTTTGGAAAGCAAGTGAATTTCATTTCGAACTATGAATACTCACAATGGCTGATGTCAAAAAATACAGTAGTAGAGAAATACATTGAAAGAAAGTAAAAGAAAATTATAAGGCAAAAGATTTGAGATTGAGATCTAGATCAGACCACAAGTCATGTTAGTCATAATATAGTACAATTTGCAATTGGGCATTATTTAATTTTATTTGCAATAAAGAATCTGTAACTTCATGTTCACCTCAAAGAAACGACTGAATAAGAACAACTACTAGCAATTGATATGGAGCTGGAAATAATATCGTTTCCTACCATGTGGGGGTGAAATATTGATAAATCTCCTGTATCGAAATAAAAAGAAAAAGAAAAAGAAAAAAAAGAAATGGTTAATCAAATTAACAAGAATGATAATATAAAATCAGTAAAAAAAAAAAAAAAAAAAAGGTTAATCAAAAAAACAAAAATAAAAAAAAAAAATCTGTTAAAAAAAAAAAAAAAAAAAAGTATGGAATGAGCTTTGACGTACATTGTGTATGCCAGTAGAACGGAAGCTCTCTTCAATCCCAAACACCAAAGATGGTCGCCTCAAACTCGTCGTTACCAGTGTCCCGTTGTTCATCTTGAATTTCCTGAACTGAACTTGCGATCTTTTTATGACAATGATATACTTCAATCTTCTGTAATGTTGAAATTTTGCCAAATTCCGAAGGAATCATCTTCAAATTATCGCAAGATCCCAACACCAATCGTTCAAGCAGAGGGAAATGATCGTCTGAGGAATACCATTCTTCAAGATTTAACAAAATTAATTTTAGTAATTTGAGTTTCTGGAACTCATCATTATTTGTGATCCAAACTTTTCCCTTAAAGGCATTATATTTTAATTTCAGAATCTCCAGGTTGTCCAATGTCCCAATTAATGACATCTTTTCCCATGGTAAACCGATTTTAGAAAGAGAGAGCTTTTTGATACTCTTGGGGAAGTGAACCTTTGAGCTATCACATACAAATCTACTTCCACACATCATTGTTAGTGATTCAAGTTGAGAAAGAAAGTTGAGATCAGGAAAAAATTTGTTTAGAGATCGACATTTAAGCCTACGAAGATTTGGTGAACATCTCAAGGTTTTTTCGTCTTTTGAATCATTAATAATAATGCAATTAAGGGTTTGTAGGCTATTTATTTGGGAGCTATCACATTTCTCTCTGAAACTTGCAGGGTCGTATAAACTTCCGACCCGCACATGTCTCAACTTAGGCATATTGAGAAGGTATGCTGGTATGGTACATCCCTTTTCTATACGAAGATATTCTAGATTCCTGAGTTCACCTATTGATGATTCTAATGATTGAATTTCCAAGTACCTCAAGTCAGGCATAACTTTAATTGCCAATCGAACAAGTCCACCGTATGATGAATCCAAGATCCTAACTTTTTCCGAATTGTAAAGAATGGATAAAGCCTCGGAGAAATGATGAGATGGAAACAAACGCAATCGATTGCGATGCTTAAATATCATGAATTGACTAAAAAGAAAGAATAATAAAAACAGCAGCGTCAACCAGCAAAGAAGTAGTAGGATCATCATCGGTTTAACCACATCAATCAGCAACAGCAACAGCAACAGGAACAGCAACATCAACATAATTACCACAAATTAGTTGGCTGAATTGGAAAAAAAAGGTAAAACATGAAGGAATTTGAAAGAGAGAGATTAACTTACTGTTGAAACAGAAATTTTTCATCTTCTGCGGCTATTTTGGTGCACATATCAAGTACCAGATCGTGAATAGTACATGTTTTTACTCTATTGTTGGATCTTCTTTTGGAAACTTGCAGCAAGCTCCTGTTAACAAGTTCCGTTAGGTATTCCTCTGCTACATCTTCTAAGGTCTTGTCCTCTTTTTTCTCTATGAATCCTTCGACTATCCATAGTGAAAATAGCTTACGAATTGGAATTTCCGCGTCTTCCTCGAATGCACTAAGATAGAGGAAACATGGCTTCAAGTAATTTGGTAAGTGCATGTAACTAAAACTTAATGAGGGAATGTAGTCATCTGCTTTTTGAGAAATGTAAGAAACTAAACATTTTGCAACTTGTTGCCATACGCTTTTTTTCTTCTCCATATTTGAAAGAACTCCAGCTATCATGACTATCGAAAGCGGGAGCCCACCACAATTTGCAGCAATTTGCTCTCCAATATCTTGCAGTTCTTCAGGGCATCGTTCTTTCTTGAACACATTCTGCTCTAATAAATTCCAACTTTCAGTTGATGACAGTCGAGGAGGTTCAATGATAACAGGCCGAGTTTCGCTTAACATATTTTTCAGCCGACTGGTGAATAATACTCTGCTTCCATTTCTGTCATCTGGAAATAACATTTTCAAATCATCCCATGCTTCTTCATCCCATAGATCGTCCATAACAACTAGGTATCTTCTACCTTTCAAATTTTTGTAAAGACGATCTTTCAACTCTTCGTCTTCCATTTCTGAACTTGCGTCTCCATTAAGGACTCCTGCAGATCCCAAAATGCCAATCAACAGCTTTCTCTTTTTATAAGTTTGAGAAACAACACACCAGGAAAGTACATCAAAATGGGAGCGAACTTCCGAATTATCGTATAATTTTTTTGCTAATGTTGTCTTTCCAAGTCCAGGCGTCCCAACGATGGAAATAATTTGGCGATTCTTTGGTTCTCCAAGAAGATGGATTTTAATTTGTGTCACGGGATCTCTTTTCTCGTGGGATGATACTTCACATGGACTTTTTGCTACTTGCAGGCTTCCAATACCACAATCCGGCTGCTTTGGGACTGCAATAAAAGGATCTTTGATCTTCAATTGCTCAGTCCTTTCTACCAGATCAGTAAGTGTCAAATCCATTTCGGTCGCTTTAACAAGTTCTGTGGTGAAAAAGAACGAACTCAAGTTTTGTGTTCACGGTATTGTGGTTGAGGAAAAACAGAAAGAGAAAAATTGATGATAGTGAATGTATTCCCAAAATGGAGGATGATGAATTTTAAATAATTGACAACTAATAATGGGTTCTCAGTTCCAATATAATCAATTGTTTAATTGTGTACTTGTTACATGTATATCAAATTTTATATAATTAATTACATAATATTTCATGACACTCTATTATTAGACATTAAAAATAGAATCAACTTTTTCCTTTAATCATTTCACTACATATAATTTTCTGACACACTTTCTGGATATCCTTTTCAAGACTTTTATTTTAGAATAATGTTATTTACAGTCACTCACTATCGCAGTCATCCTGCGTGACATACATGTGACGATTGGTGATTTGATATATGGAGCAAGAAAAATTACCACATTTATATATCAAATCATAAACCGTAATGTAGGATGTTACGTAAGACGACTATCACAGTGAACGAATATAAATAGTATTGTTATTTATATCATGGCGATCAAACAATCAAATATAAAAATCAAGCCAACTAGATTATAATCAAGAAAAGAAAGAGTCTAACTAAACTACTTGTCGTAAATTAAAAATAAATAAGAAGTTTTGTCTTCATCTAGTACATTGAAGAGTTGGCCCAGCATATTTGTGAATAAATTACACCAGAAAGATTAAATTAACATCACCTAGAAATAAGAATAAATGAATAATGAAAAAAAAAAAAGGAAAAAAATCCATGTTTTTGGCTTGAATCTTGAAATTGGGCTTTGATTCTTCGATCCTCGTATATTAATTGCATTGATTCTCTTTCTGGACTTGTTTTTTGTACTAAAATTTGGTCTCTCTCTGCTCTGGCTATCCCAAATAGGTTAAATAGTTGCAAGAAAATTATTTTGAAAAGAGTTCTATTTAAAAACATTCGTCTGCCCAAAATTTCCCCGCACAGCTGCGCCATACTCTTCAGCACGGCCACACCGTATACCATATTTTCCCTCGGTAAATTATATAACAAATTGGCATGTGTGCATCAACTTGGGTGGGGGCAGCCGCTCTAGCTGTATCTTTCAGTGGTGTGCACTGTGGTCCCTAAATTTCATCCTTCGTTCAATTTAGTCCCCTTCTCTATTATTTTGGTCCTTAATTTTCGCTCATTTTGTCAAATTCCATACTTTTTTATTGAGTTGCATCTAATAAACGAAACATATACAAAATTAAATCATAATTCATAGAAATCCACAACGATTTATCTCATTTAACAGTTCAGAGTACACTTATCGATAGTAGTAGGTGGGGTTGAATGTTACTTAATGGTAGGTGCACCTACTTCAATAATTAGTTTTAGATAATGGCAAGTGTGGTAAAATAATATTTAATGGTAGGTTCACCTATTTCACTAGTTGCTTTAATAGAAGAGTAATGTTATTTGGTTCGACCGGAGTTACAATTTCAATCTATGTGGTGTTAATATTGCATTAAATGATAGGTAGGATTACATAAGTTATTTAATTTCACATTTTATTTAACTTATCATTTAAAAGCCACCTAAATTGGGATTGTAATCGTAGTAAAATTAAATATGAACTATAATTTAAATTAGTCAAATACACTCTTTATCCATACATTTAAGCCAGTATTTTCATTTGAAATTTAAATCTTAGTCATTAAATCTTAGACAACTAATAACTCTAACAACATTTGACTTGACTGCTGAATAAATTTGTGTATCAAATGTTGGGATATCCGGACTTTCTACATATTATAGAGAAGCTTAAATTTGACCACTAAGCGTATCTTCAATAGAATCTCTAAATACAAAATACTCATTATTTTAAAGAGCTAATAATTAAAAATAAACTCCAAGAAATTCTCTGTGTAACGCCTCGAAACCTATGTCTCGAAAGTTAGTCAAATAATTCATTTAACCATTATAAAAGTTGATTGACACATTATAATAATAAAATAAAATAAAAAAACTTGAAGAACTTTATGGAATAAAATAAATTATTTTATTGTCTCATAAAAACATCAATTAATGCAATTCACTACTTATTTTTTTTTTCTAAATTCAACGTCGATTTTGAACGTTAAATAAATAAAATTCTAATTTGTTAAATAAATAAAATTCTAATTTGAAAAATAGTTTTCTAACTAAATACTAAATATTGAAAGAAAATCTTAAGTTCTTGATCTTTCAACACTAACTCTGTCAGCAGTTTCAATCTTCAACTCCGACCAATCAAGCATCAGTAATAATAATTTAAAATATGGAATGAGCATATAAATACACTTAGTATAGATTTCATGTTAACATTTTCACAATTTGATATAAAAAGCAAGTAAAGTGCATACGTAACATAATTTTCTAGTGGAATAAAAATCTGAACATCTCATTTTCACTTAGGTCATATCCATTTTCAAACTTTACTTAGGTATTTAGCCCTATAGTTGGTTTCTAGGTAGATCTACATAATAACACCACGATCCTTCTTTAATTTGGATTATATAATAGCACATAAAATACTTAACTTAAAACAATAAAAAGTGAATACACAAAATCACCTGGTATTTAGAGAAATCCACTACTAATTCGTTAAATTTCTTCTTGTACACTTGAGCTATATAAGGTTGAAAATTCTTGCAAACGGATTTCGAACGCAATAGAAAAGATTTTCTTTTCTTTCTCCCTCTCCGTTTTCTCTCTTTCTCTCTCTCCTTTCCTCACTCTTCTTTCTCTCTATATGCTCTTCTCTCTCTCCTTGGTTGCAATATATATAGGGCCTGTTTGTTGGCCATTTGTTTTGCCATTTAATGAATTCTTTGACCGTTGCAACAAATACATCTGACAACCCATGTGCTGCCCCTGGGAACCACTTTTTTCCACACTTTCCATATTCTGCCCTTACTCCCCAAACGAAAGGGCGACCTATATTCTGCAACCGCCGACGACCGACAACAGACCCAAGCGGCCGACCACGAACTGAAATTGACGGTGGGTTTCCTTCCATTGCAGTAGCCAGTTGACAACACTTCCATTCTCCGAAGACCCAGCCAGTTTTCAAGGACGCGCGCTCCACCAAGAACGCCGCCGAATACTGCCAGTCGCCCGTCTGGTTAGCGACGTCCTCCACACCCGAAAGGCCGCCGACCACATGGATCCCGCCCGCACACCGGTAGGTCGACGAACACGAACTTCTGTGATTCCGTGTACTTGTTCGTAAAAAAACTACTTCCCGACATTACAGGGAGTTCAAATAGTTTCTAATTAATTTGTTAATCTGTAATTATACGTACTTATCTACTTTGTTGGATGTTTTGGAGTATGATTTTCGGCATAGTTGATGTTGTGGCTGTTCGAAATTTTCCTGCCTTTTCGTCCGCATCTAAACTGCCTTACGCATTGCGCCGTCGTTTATGTTGAAGTGGGAGTCAATTGTGTGTTGTGTATTTGGTAATCTACAATTACATGTACTTATCAACTTCGTTGGATGTTTTCGAGTATGATTTCGGGCGAAATTGATATTGTGGCTGTTCGAAAGTTTCCTGCCTCTGTGTCCGCATCTGAACTGCCTTATGCATTGCACCACAAGTTATTTCGAAGTAGGAGTCAATTGTTTGTTGTGTATTTGTTCACCTGTAATTATATGTAGTTATCAAATTCAGTGGATGTTTGTATTTGTTCACATGTAACTATATGTAGTTATCAAATTCAGTGGATGTTTTGGCGTATGATTTTGGGCACCATTCATATTGTGGCAGTTTGAAATGCACCTGCCTCTGGGTTCACATCTCAACTGCCATATGCATTGCGCTACCCGTTTTTCCAAAGTATTTGTTTGGCCGTATACTCTTGTACGAAATCTGTCCCTTGACCTATAATTCCATAAACTGAGACTAGAATGTTTTATGCAATTTCTGGAGTATAGTCTTCGTTACACCCCTGCGCTCGTGCTCTCTGCATTCTCCCTTAAAATGATAGCATCGTTCATTCGTCTGTTTCCAAATTGAACTTCTGCACAACATCTTTTACGTGTACGTTCTTGTCAAGTTCAAATTTTTAATCTGTAGCTATTTTACAGACTTCAAATGCGTATAATGAAGATTAACGTAAAATGTCTTCTTTTTTTGCGTGATGGCCTGCTTGGCTTTGCAGTGTGGACATGGCCCGCCACCCAGCTCCTTCGTTGCACAGGAGTTGAGTCAAGGCTCAGGTGCAAAATCTTATGCTCGATGGAATGCCTTGGAGACCCAAACATTCATTGCAGCCTGCGAGACCACCATTGCCGAAAGCCATCGCAGCGGGCGGTGTTTTACGAAACAAGGTTGGGCCCGAATCTCCACTCTGTTCAACTCAGCCACTGGGCACAATTGGACAAAGCAACAACTATGCAACCACTGGGACGCCATGCGTCGAACCTACCGACGTCTCTTCGATCTATTAAAGGGTAGCGGGGTTAAGTACAACGAATCCACCGGTCGAGTCGTCGCATCAGAGGAATGGTGGAACAGAAAAATACGAGTAACTATTTCAATTCGCGGCACACAGTTTTCACAATATGTAACCAAACAATACCGTTCAGTATTTTTCAATACATTTGGAATGCCTTTTTCGTATCTTCCCTCTTTTTTGTCCCTCTTTTCGCAGGAGAATAAAGACTACAGGGAGTTCAAAGACAAGGATGTGAGCGAGATATACGTTCACTACCGTACACTTTTTGGCGACAGCTACGATGGGGAGAAGTACGCGGTCACGCTGACTAAGTTGTGCCGAACGGGGTTCGGGTTGTGTGAGGACAGTGCGCTCGAAGACACTCGGGATGCAATCCCCGTCGACGAGGAAAGTAGTGGTTCAAGTGACTAGGCTGAACAAATGGTCGGTGGATCCCGCTTAAACGTATCCGACACCACAAGCGGTGGTAAAAGAAAGTCGTCTGGTGCGACACGACGGGGTAAGAAGAAAAAAGCATTTGCACGCGAGCTGTCGTTCTCGGTCGACCGAGCCACAAGTGCCGCGGAGGAAGTGGTGGCGAAGCTGAATACCATGATGGGCTCAAATGACGACACCGGCACTGCCTGTATAGAGGAGCTACTGGTGGC